AAAAAGCGGGGGGGAAAACACACTCAAGCAAGGGAACACGCCATCCCATCGAATCGAAAGAGGGGGGGGGGGTTAGTGACACAGCCAGAAGAGTGGGGGAGGGGGGGGGAGCACAGGAAGCACGAGCCACTCCCTTAAGATTTGTGAATTCGTAATCTAATGTTAAACAGTTCTCCAGTGACTCGAATAATCCAATGTAGATCACAACGTTTGAAAAAAAAAAAAATAATAATAAAAATAAAATAAAATAAAATAAAATAAAATAAAGCTCTCTGGGAACGATATTTCATCCCCTCTTCATAATTCCTGGCTATGCCTATAGGGAACGAAATTCTAATAAAACGAAAAGGTTTAAACAATAATAACTGTTAAAAAGTATTAGAGAGGAACAGCAACAAGGGTAAATTACAGTAAAATAGAAAACGTAACTCTGTAAACAAGCGAAAAAGAAAACGGAAAACACGCGTGGCGCCCCCCTCCTCGAGCTTGTCTTACCCAATGAGGGAAAAGACGAACAACTCCTGAGGGTCAAAGGGTATGTCCACTTTGAAGGTCGTCCGAAACAGCGGCGTCAACGTAGCTATTGATAAAATGAGGAGGGAGGATAGACGGAAAAGGGAGGGAAGAAGGAAGAAGAAAGGGGAGAGAAAATAAAAAAGTAAACATAGTGATAACCTCGGTGATGGTTGCCTGAAATACAGGTTATGGTTTCATTATACAATGGGCAGTTTTATTCTGGTTTGTTGGATAAAAAGAAAAATGACTAAAATTAATATTCCTCTACAGAAATATAACTAATGGTAACAAATACCTTAATAACTACAGTATCTAAATATTATAGTAAGTACATAGATATCTACAACTAAAATCAAACACTGAAATTAAAATATCAAACAAACCATGAACTTCAGTTGACATATTCCATCAACTTCAAAATGACATGACGTCATCAGCTCTACGGCAAAGTAGGTTATTGTAACTGTTATTAACACTAACTTAACCGACCGCATTAGCCCCACTACCGTCTCCATGTGCACTATAACTACCCCTCCTATTACTATAATCACCTTTTCACCATAAACACTGATTACCATAACCATATCCTTTCACCATAAACACCATGATCCATTACTCGTGCCACACCAGTTGCACGCCGCCATGCTTGATTTTAACGTTATTTCCTCCATAAACATCCATAAAAAAAATCCGAAGTGCTCAGGCGAGAAAATATATATATCCTTGGATTCCTGGCAACACCTTAATAGTTAATTATTGTGATGTTGACTCGCTCATAAACTTGCCCCTCTCGTCTAGTGGCGTCTGGCAACACCCTCCGGACCCTGAGAGCTGACAGAAGAAATGCAACGAGGAAATACATTTCGTGCTCTTCTTATTTTCTCTCTTGCTTTCATTCTTTTTCTTTCACCATTTATCAACCTTTTTGAAGTTCAAAATTTCCGTTCAAAGTTTGTCATCTGTATTCACAAGAGGGAGGAGACGAACCTAAATAAAAATCGACGCATTCTTCTCGTTCATGAAACGTATTGTCCTTTGTTAACCATTGTCATTCTACTAAACTCTTCATCTTTATTTCTCTCCAGCTCATTACACATTCTTGATGATTTATTCAGCCATCACATCAGCCCGGGATTGAAACAGAAGGCAGCTGAATCATTTATTTTTCCTCAAGAGAATTATGTCACATATATATCAGGAGGGTCTGTGGTGCGTCATCTGGGGTGCCTCGGTGCTTGCTCTTCGTGAATTTTCTTACGCACTCCAAAACATAATAATTCGTGGCTTCACTACAGTAAAAGGCAATTGGGTTAATTTCTCGTGGAGCGTATTTGATTTCAGGGTTTTGTTGATTGTTTGAAAGCTTATCGGTTAAATTGCAGAACTAATTAATATGTTCACATTTCCTGCATGTTTTTGTGTCCCGTATTTTAAAAGGAAAGTGGTATTTCTGTAATTCCTGCACCTAACAGCTTGGTGATTTTTATTCTTCTATATCCTTTACAGGTTGGCGGCGATAATTATTCAAAATACGCCAGTGTTATTTGAATATGTAGCTGGTCAGCAGCAACCTCTGCATCTTCACCTTAAAGGAGAGAGAGAGAGAGAGAGAGAGAGAGAGAGAGAGAGAGAGAGAGAGAGAGAGAGAGAGAGAGAGAGAGAGAGAGAGAGAGAGAGAGAGAGAGACAGAGAGAGACAGAGAGAGACAGAGAGAGAGAGAGACAGAGAGACAGACAGAGAGAGACAGAGAGACAGACAGAGAGAGACAGAGACAGACAGAGAGAGAGAGACAGACAGAGAGAGACAGACAGACAGAGAGAGAGAGAGAGAGAGAGAGAGAGAGAGAGAGAGAGAGAGAGAGAGAGAGAGAGAGAGAGAGAGAGAGAGAGAGAGAGGAAGAGAGAGAGAGATTGTATTCTTTTATCAAAGTATTCTATCTACTTTTCACAATCTACTTTTCAACTTCATGGAGGGCAATGCGTGACATGGGAGACTTCCGCTGTCACCTTGAGCTCTTCCATCCTCCCCAATTTCCGCCAACCAATTTCCAAATAGAACGTCTTAGAAATTTCTTTCTCGTTAGTAGTGTTCCTCCCTTTCAGATTCCCCTCTTCACTGTCGCTATCGGGAAATAAACGTCTTGTTTAGGTGTTATCTTTCAAGGTCTTTGCGTCGTTTCCAGCTGTCTCGGAGGCGCCGAAACGCCACGAGCGCTTTGGCTGGACGTCTTGGTCCAACCTACAAGAACATCTACAAGCTTGTAATGCCTTTGTTTTGTCTTTCTATTTCTGGTTTGGTTTATTTACGTATTCTCCTCCAGTTGTAGTAATCCATATCTTCCGCCTCCTCTATGTAGCTTGCGTCGATCTACTTGGTTGCCCTCCGTTGCTTCTTCAGTTGTTTTTTCTTCGTTTTTTTTATTCTCTTTCATAAGATAGTCTTTTCTAGATAAAGAAATACGAGGCTGTGTATTTTTCTTAAACGTTATCCTCGAATATCTCTCAACCCTGTATCTCTTGTTATTTTTACCTTTATTATATCTTATTTTTTCCCCTATTCTAGATGGAATTGCTTCTTCACCACATATTTTTTTCTGAACCTCCTTTTTTCTAAATATTCTACTATCTACTAGTCTACTAGCAAATATCTACCTCCTCGCTTCCGCTATTGCATGACTTAGTTACCTAACATCCAAGAACACATACTGATGGGCGTAGGTGTTCATTTGCAAACACCAGGGACAGGCTTGCATAACTGAACACTTTTTTTTGTTACAGAGAATAAACGCACTTGGAATTTTGAAAAGGAATGAGTGAGTATAAACTGATTCGCAGTAAATGAATTAACAAATAAATAAATAAATGAAGGATGGAAGAACAAGAAAAGAAATAAACAAATAAAACTATCTAGCAGACTTTTTAATGCCACATCGAACTCCATCGGAAGTAGTGCGAATATGCAATTACCGAAATGTCAGTTACGCAACCTGCACTGTGGAGTTACCTGTGCCAATTACCTAATTATCACTTTACTTATTAGACTAATAGTACCTATATCAAATGTCCCAATAATTGTATACCATATATTACTAACACCTTCACAAAATGCCCAATTATAACCATAATAAATTACACTACTAATGCCGATATGATATACCTAATTATTATTATGCTAAATATCTAATCATCACAATATTAAGCAACCAATTATGACTATAATAAACGCACAATCGTTACAATACTAAATAACCATTTATTACAATACTAAATACTTGATTAGTACTCTGCTAATACCTAATCATCACTATGCTGATTACATAACAGTTACATATAAAAAAAACGAATTATCACTATACTGATTATTACACATAAAAAAAACAATTATGCTGAATACTTAAGTACGACATATCAAACCCCTAATCCTTCCAACTCAGGCACTTACCTTCGTCATTGAACCACACGGCCAGGAGACGGAACATCATAGCTCCACACACGGCGGCGAAGAACCCACGCCAGTAGTTCCTGACGGCGAAGTACACGCTGGTGACCTCGATGCTGAATAACACACCTGTGGAGCGAGAATTAAAAGGGGTCATTTGAGGTCAGGAGGTGATGTGCATCGTGGCGAAGAAAGAGGTCAGGATGTCAAATGACCTGGGGCAAGATAGGACTGTCAGTCAAGGATGTCACGAACTGAGACTGGTTTGTTAGGATGTGAGTGAGCGAGAGGCTTTGAATCATTCAGGGTTTGGGGCTCACACATAACAGAAGGAGGGAAGAGGGTGGAAGAGAGGGAGAGCGAGAGAAAGAAAGAAAGAGAGAGAGAAAGAAAGAGAGAGAGAAAGAAAGAGAGGAGAGGAAGAAGAGAGGAGAGGAGAAGAGAGAGAGAGAGAGAGAGAGAGAGAGAGAGAGAGAGAGAGAGAGAGAGAGAGAGAGAGAGAGAGAGAGAGAGAGAGAGAGAGAGAGAGAGAGAGAGAGAGTGAGAATGAATTCTTATAACTAAAATCATAACCTCCCCTCCCCCCTAAAAAAATAGACCAATCCACAAAAAAAAAAAAAAAAAAAAAAAAAAAAAAAAAAAAAAAACAGAATCACAGAAAGACAAAACATTTTCCAAGAGGTGACCTCGATCTAAGCCTAATCCCAGGCCTACTGAATTCGAGACGACGATAGCCTCAAGTTCGGTCCCCGGCTCGCGGAGGGGAACATTTTGCGAATTCCGTCAGTCCCGAACAGACTCAATCAGAAAGGACCGAGGGGAATCCTTTTTTTTCTTCTTATCCGTTTTTGTTTTTTACGTTTTGTTCATGGTTCTGTTGAAAGACGCGGTGATCAGTCTATACGCGGCAATAAATCTAATAAAAGGACCTTGTGATTAACTCAAGAGAGACAGGTTATCCGTAGTTTAAGAAAGTGACTGCTTGAAATGATTAAGGACGACTAGCACGTTAAGAGGATGCACGAAACAAGGGTAAGAGGAGATGG